ATGTGAACAATGTTCAGCTGAAAAACAAAAGACACACACGCACACACACACACACACACACACACACACACACACACACACACACACACATCATGATTCTGTTGTGAATATTTGAAGTGAGTCTTACTGACATGTACAGCATTAAGCATTCAAAGAAAAAAATATTTCTGACTTTTGGATATTTAGTGGTGAAGCATTAAAACATTTTTGCATGTGAGTCTGAATCCATCTATCCATCCATCTTCTCGAGGTTTTGGGGGTGGGAGGGGTCGGAGGCAGCTATCTATAGCCTATCCGAGGTAATACACAATCCACCTTAAACAGGTGGCCAGTCTATCTCAGAGACAACACAGAGATTCAAACAATTGTTCACGCTCACAGTAAACCCTGTGGGTAATTTTGAATGACCAACCACACTAACATGCATCAGACTGTAGGATGAAGCCAGAGTACTTGGAGAGAAGGTGCACAGGCAAGGGGATTTTAACCCAGGGCCTTCTTGGTATGAGGTGACAGAGTTAACCATTCCAGATATAAATACTTTTTCTTTAATTCAGCTCATTTTAAGCACATTAACAAATTAAGACAAGTGAATCAACACGTAATGGATTGCTAAAACACTGACTTTGTGTTCATTTCTTAATTCAAAACCCCAAAGAGTTGCTGCTCTAACTAGCCTCCAGTGTGTACACTAGTGTACAGTATGAAGCGTTCACACAAATGCACCCAACAACAAACACAATGCATGTGCAAAGAATTATGTTTTATTCTGTTTATTCTTTTTTATTGCATGTGCTGTTATTAACTGAACGGGTTTTGTTCAAATGGAAAATGTTGATTTACTCTGAGCTTCAGCGTCACAGTGGAGACTGACAAATGTTTCCATCTATTTCTCCTCTCATTGAAAAGTTTTCTTCTTGTGGATACTCCGTCTGTGAAGAAATATCTGTCTGCCTCTATTTTTTCTCCAGTTTTCTATCTGTGCTTATTTTCTATCATTGACCTTTGCAATTTTTAAAAAAAAATTCTCTTGTTCCTGCTCTTTTTGCTGACTGTCTAACATTTTGTTGCCTGTCTGTCTCTACCCATATCCTCGCTCCTCTGTTGTTTTGTTTTTCCGCTCTCTTTTTTTGTCTTTTGTTGATTCTCTTCTTTTTTCTCTCGCGACATTTTCATTTCCGCTCTTGAAAGGGAGGTGGCCCTTAAGCGACCCTGTTTGTCTTTCCTACACAAAGTCTGTCGGTCAAAGAAACAACCTTTTCTATTCTAAAGCAGAGATGAAAAAACAAACAGATTTACCAGAAAAACAGAGACACAGAGTGTCAGTGTGTATTTGTATGTGTGTTTTATAGAGAAAAGGGTGACTCAACAAAAACCTACAAGTTCATTCACCAAGCAGAGACTGAACAGCAATGGATTATAGGACAGCAAACATAGGATTGATTCTGATTGTATTGAGCTATCACTACATGGTCTATTTTTTAAACCACTCTCTAGTCCCTACTTAAAGCCAGTATATTTACTGCCTGGTATATATCCACAACACTGGCCCCTAAAAAATCCATAATTTAATAATGGTACGGTGTATACAGTACAAGCTGTTTTAAAATTTCTTACATAATAAAAAAATTTCTTCCATAATAAAAAAAAACATTTCAGGGACAGACTTGTATCCCCATGTGATGTTTGTGTTGTGTGTGTAAGGTCGGGGGGCGGGTTCATTCCACTGCAGGGCAACCTACCACTGCATGTGGCGAATAAAATTTGAACTTGAACTTGAACTTGAGACTTAGCACTGAGTGGCATGGCAGCTATCAGTAATGCTCCAAAAGGATAAAAAAAGAGAAGTCATTAAAGTAGTCATTTTCCACACCTTCCTGTACTCTTTTCTTCTAGCTAACTATTTGCACCAGTAAGCTGGACTGCTCCAGTGTATTTACAGTCCTCCTGTGAAAAACTAAGTACACCCCATGATTGAGTAGCTTGTAGAACCACCTTTAGCAGCACTAACTGTTTCCTGTATAACTTTATCAGTCTGTGGAGGGATTTTGGCCCTTGCTTCAGTTAATTGAGATTTGCAGTTATCTGTTGATGCACAGCTCTCTTCAGGTTCCACCACTGCATTTCAATCAGACTGAGGTCTTTGACTGGGTCAAAGCAACTCTTTGATTCTTTTCTTTCTCAGCCACTCTATTGTAGATTCGCTGCTACGCCTGGGATCATTGTCCTGAACCATGATCCAGTTTCAACCA